TCTTAAAAATTTCTCTAATGAATGATGTTTTTTCTTTCTATTTTAAATTTCTTTAGTTCTTCTTTGTACAGTAGTAACCGGTCTATGTTTTTGGGCATCGGAATTAATCTATGATATTCAAGATAGAAATCGTTCGAAAATAGGAAAAAAAGTTGAAGTACAATTCGATATAGCTTATTATCTTGTTGTTATGTCAAGTGGTCTTTCATTATTAGCATCTGCTTTTGCACTCTTAAGGCGATATCCAACAGCTGAAGAAGAACATTTAGAAAGGTAAATTATTAATCATTTGAGGGCGGAATTAATTTTACAAAAAAAAAAATAATAATAAAATTTTTCAAAACTTTGCAGGAAAAAAAAGACGACGATTGAAGGTACACTACATGTCTTAATACCAGAATATATAGAAGATTATTAGATAGATGTAAATTCATCATTTGGATGCCTGCGTCTTTCTAAAAAAAGTTCCAATTCTGATAGCGATCATTTCTGATAAATTGAATATTTTTGATTGAAAAAATTAGAAATGTCAAACACAGTTCGTTTTGAAAATTCAAGTTCTATGAACTTAAACATTGAATTTTTTCAAAAAAAGAGATTTTTCTCTCAAATTGGTTACAACCCTGCAACATTTTAATAAATTAATTCTCGCGTCAGAATTAAAGAGAGGTGGACGTTAACTCAATAATTGACAACACAACAGTTAACAACCTGTATTTTTCAGTAATTCAAAGAGAAGAACGCCAAATATCTTTTTGCCTGATACTATATAAGACAAAATTATTTTTAAAACCCATTATCTTCGCAAAATATTTTGAAAAAAATGCAAGCAAATATTGTTTCATTTCGTTTGACATGTTCTTCAGGTGTATAGCTTAAGGTACGATTCAGGTGATTATATTTTTATATCTCAATGTTGAGCAAACAAAATTGAGTATCTGTTTGGTTACATTATATAGAATTTCTTCTGATTTTTAGAGAATTTTCTGACTTATTATCAAAATTTCATTGAAACAAAATGCCGTTGAATACTTTTCGAAGATAATGGATTTTAAAATTTTTTTTTTCAAAGAAAAAAAAATGGAATTGGTAGAAATCACAGATCTATGATCTATATACTTACGCAGGAATGTCATCAGTTGTTCCCTTCCGAGTTCTATGATTTTTTTATCTATAGATATTACATAGTGATCTAGTAAAAATTCTAAAAGGATTTGGATTCCTAATGATATTCGACTAAGCTATTGAGTTTTTTTCTTTCTAGAGGGCCCAGATTTTCGGAAAACTCGTATTTTTAAATTTTGATCGGAAACTTTGTACATATAGAAAACTTATCTAGGCTAGCTTCTATAAAAAAATTCAGAAGTTTTGAACAAAGTCTCTTCGACATATGAGACTCTCAAAATACAAACTCTTTTCTATGGATAGCGTTTTTGAAAGCTTCATATTTCCAAAAGAGACTCTATTCAAAACATCTGAATTTCCTTAAAGAAGTTAGTCTAGTTTAGTTTTTCGAGAACCTAAGGCCTCTAGGAAAATATTCAATAGCTTAATCAAAACTCAAATCATTGAAATCGGAAGGAGACATCTGAAGAGGTTCTCTCGTTAGTAGAAGTCATAAAAGTATCATACAAGGTATCGATAGGTTAATTATGAGTTGATTCAAAACCGTCTGTATATATATCTGGTATCCTCGAGAAGTAAAAATAAAATAAAAGATCTTTATTATTGTTTCTGTTATTATATAATTAGATTGATGGATGATTGGTCACGACGTGAAGAACCTTTATTTATTGAACGTTCTTTACCAGCTACAACATCAACAATACCCACAAGTGATGAACCACCACCAGACTATTCCGAACAGAATGCTATTGTAATATGAACAAGTATTTTTCTTTTTCTTTTTTTTTTTTTTTTGCAGAATCTCTTATTTTAAACAGTGATTGTATCTACAATAATTTTTCTCATTCTTTTATATTTGTATGTAATTAACTGGAACTTGTTCTTCTTCTTTTTTTTTTTTTTTTGCTGTAATTACTACATTATTTACACACCGTAGTTAATGGGGAAAATGAATAAATGCAAAAAAAAAAACAGTTGAAGATATGTTATAATGATTGAACGATCATATTACTAACGTTATATTTGCCTTTTTTTTTCTCTTTTTGTTCTGTAGATGATGACAATATCTTATCGAAGTATTAAGGTCATGTCTTAAACATAATTCTTTGACGATTATATAATATATCAAGTGCCTATGTGTCACTACTCATCATGGTTCTTTCTGAAAAACAAAAAAATGAACTGTAAGATTTTGTTTTGATATTTTATTCATTAATGAAGAAAAAAAAATCATATATACATTTTATTTTTTAATTTTAGTAATCAAGCTATAGCTGATTATCTAGCCACAAATGGTTATACGATCTCATTTAAAGAATTTTGTAGAGAAGCAAATATTGTATGAACAAATTTGATAAAAATAAATCGAATAAATTGATTTGTTCTAGTCTATTAATGAAACTGCGGAAAGAAAAGATCAATTGGAAAAAAAATGGACGTCAGTTATACGCCTACAGAAAAAAGTAACAATTAAAAATTTCATCGGTGTTTAATAATAACGAATATCGTGTTTGTTTGTTTATTTATTTTTTTATTAAGGTTATGGATCTTGAATCAAAATTACATGAAGCCCTACAAGAAGCAACGAGTGGTGGGCCTACTCGAGAAAAACGTCAACCTAATGAATGGATACCCCGACCCCCTGAAAAATTCGAGCTAAAAGGTCATCGTGATACAGTGACGCGCGTTGTCTTTCATCCAACTTTCGATATTCTTGCATCGGCTAGTGAAGATGCAACAATTAAAGTATAAATTTTTCATAATAAATAAATAATTTTCGATTTATTTTTATATAGATATGGGATTATGAATCAGGAGAACATGAACGAACATTAAAAGGTCATACAGCACCGGTGCAAGATGTTACCTTTGATCATACAGGCAAATGGCTTGGTAAACAACATTCATTTCTTATTAAAATAAAAAAAAAAAAGAAAATTCAAATTTATTTTTGTTTTGTTTTAGTATCATGTTCAGCTGATATGAGCGTTCGTTTATGGGATTTTCAAACTTATCAATGTGTAAAAACAATGCACGGTAATGAAAAAAACAAAACAAAAAAAACTTGAATGATTTTGAATTTTATTTTTCTTTAGGTCATGATCATAATGTATCGTCAGTAACATTTACTCCAAGTGGTGATCATATTATTTCATGTAGTCGTGATAAAACGATTAAAATATGGGAAGTATCGACGACGTAAGTTTTATTATTGAAATTTATGTACAAAAACAACAAAAAGAAAAATAATCTAGTTTATAAATTATTCATCTTAGATAGCCAAAGACAGTTTTTGTTTAAATTAAACATGTAAAAAATTTATCATTTCAAATTATATTGGAGACAGTGATTTAAAATGATAATTTCACATGATTAGAGATGTGTTGGATCAAGTTTTTTTTGGTTCCGAGCATAGTCCCGGATATATCTGGTCTAGAGAAAACTATTCACGCTTTAATTCATATTACATCTAGAAAAATTCTTCAATACTAGGTTTCTTTTTTGATTTATTTAGTCAATGACTGGCACTTTCTTGGATAATCTTTCTTGAATTATATTTTGATTCATATGATGTATAAGATAATTTGCTTAAAACTATAGAGTATTTAATTAGCTATCAATGATAAAATGTTTACGAATCGTATTTTTGATGGATACTTCCATGAGTAGTCATCTCAAAAAAAAAAATACAAGATTCTCAGAAATTCCTTATTCCTCTGTAGAGCTCGTCGCGTTGATCATTTTAGTAAAAAAAAATCTATTTAAATTCACTCACTAAATCATGGTGCTAGGATGAAAATACTCAAAAACGTCAACCATTGCTCAACAATAGTCAAGAGTAACCGAAGCTTTTGAGTATTCATCAAAAATACTATTTGCAAACATTTTGTTGTTGATAGTAGAATCTTTAGTTTCGGTTGGGACAACTTCTCCGTAGTTCCTGCAAACTTCAAGTTTTGGTCTCGCACATCTCTACACTTGGCACTGATATATATAATAAAAATTGTATAAACATTTCTAATAATTTAATTTTATAGATTTTGTATAAAATCTCTTGTTGGTCATCGAGAGTGGGTGCGTATGATACGTGTTTATCAAGATGGTACATTAATTGCCAGTTGTTCAGTTGATCATGTATGTATATTTAAGGATTTTTATGAAATAAAATTTATAAATTTCTATCTTTGATAGGCTGTACGTATCTGGTCGCTGCCAAGTGGTGAATGTAAATCTGAATTACGTGGTCATGAAAATGTTGTTGAATGTATTGCTTGGGCACCGGATTCGGCCGGATCACATATATCCGAATCAATTTCTAATGGTGGATCTGAGGTATTGATCTTTGTTTTTTTCTTTGTGGAAAATTTATTTTCATAAAATCATTTTTGTTTTCTTAATTAGATACAAAAACGATCCGGTCCTTATCTCGTATCCGGTGCACGTGATAAGACAATTCGAATGTGGGATGTAACTAATGGTTTATGTCTATTTATATTAGTAAATATTTAATTAAAATAAAAATATTATTTATTTATTTTTTTATATTAGACTGGCCATGACAATTGGGTTCGTGGTCTTATCTTCCATCCAGGTGGAAAATATCTATTGAGCTGTTCTGATGATAAAACATTACGCGTATGGGATATCAAAAATAAACGAAATACAAAAAGTATTGATGCTCATAATCATTTTTGTACTTCACTTGGTAAAATAGATTTTTTTGTTTTTGTTTTTGATTTATTATTTCTAATTTAATGTTTTTTATTTGTATTTTATTTAGATATGCATCGAAATAAACCATTTGTGATTACGGGTAGTGTTGATACATCAGTTAAAGTATGGGAATGTCGTTAAAATTATATTAATAGCATTAAGAGACTTGCTAATTGCTTCCTTTTTCTTTCCAACTCATCCTTATCGATTTATATTCCTGTATTTGCGTGATGGAAATGTCTCCTATTATTTATTTTCTTGTTCTTTCATGTATCTGCTACTGATGCAATAGCTCTTTTTTTTGCTTTCTTTAGTCATACATACGCATATATAAATATATATATATATATATACATAAATTGACGAGAGAACTAAAACAAAACATATTTAACTGACAGGAAACAAAATAATTTTCTTTGATGTGTGAACGAACAAAAAACAAATATATATATCCAGCACACAAAATGCATTTTTTTTCTTTTTACATAACTTTCTTTTTCTCTCTATTTTTTTGAAAAAAATAAACGACATATGAGCGAGAAAAGAAAGAAAAAAGTGTGTGAATGAACTACTTTGTTTTCTTTTTCTCCTACGTTGCTTGTGTATGTCTGTTGATTTTACTTATGTGTGTGTATGTGTGCGCACTGTTTGTTTAGACTCGTATTCTCTCTCTCTCTCATTCTTTTTCTTTGTGTGCGTTGATTGGTTATTCTTCATTTCGTTTTTTTTGCTCTGTTCACTTCTTTTTCGCTCAAATACAGTACAGAAGTTTGAGAAAAAAAAAGCATTTATTTTACATGAAAACTAGTTGCCATTAACTAGACAATACATTGACAGAAAAAACGAACAACATAAAAGTTTAAATGAGATAAGTAGAAAAAGTTCAATTAATCTTTATGTAAAAGCCAAATACATGTTTG